GTGTGTGAAGGGGTGATGGAAGTGAATGTGGTTATAACATGAGGAATCCTTGGTGTGATAAAGGTATTCAGTATCTTGACTGTATCAGTGCCAACATTCTGGCTGTAGTATGTCTTGCCAGATGTTACTACTGGGGAAGCTGGAAGTAGGGTAAACTGGATCCCTTGGTATGGTTTCTACAGTTACATGTGACTCTATAAAGATCTCAACGTAAGAAGCATACTTTAGAAAAATAAAAAAAAAATAAATCTGGGCCTAAATTACCAGAGATTAATTCATAAAGAAATTTTATTGAGCAATTTCAAGAAACACTGGTCTCATACATAAATTATACATGGCACACCTATGTCTATTTAAATATACTTCCAAATTATATTTTTCCAATACCTATGTTTCCACTGGGAAACCAGGCCTTTGTAAACTCTGTGGCTCTTTATGGCCAGTCAGCAAAAGTATTTTGGCCTACAAATTAACCGATGCATATTTTTCAAGATTCACGGTAATATTTTTTGTTTTCCCTAATGAACATTCTTGAGCCACAATATTAAGTGAATGGTCTCTCCACAAATTACACAGCTTCCTACTTCTTTTATCATTAGGTTTTAAAGCTGCAAATGCTTAAAAACATAACACACATCCCACAGACACATGCATATATCACTGCTTTACCAAAATGCTAGCACTAACACTTCTATGACTATTTTCTCTGCCTTAACACAAAATCTGACCCTAGCCACAGTGGCCCAAAATGACCTGGAAAATTAAGTTTATTTTTTCTGGCAATGACAATCTGTGCTTGGAAATATAAAACTGTTATTCTGAATAAATTTCAAAGTTCCAAAGTACTAAAATTACTGAAACAGGACAAAATGAGCTGTTACTGCTAGGGAAAGGGATTGTTATCCCAGAAAGAACAGTGTGCTCTCTAGGTCTTGCACTGCCACTTCTGTTTTATAAAATAAACAACTCTGGTCTCTTTATTTTATTTTCTGTCCTATGGTAATAAATATCTCCTGAAGCTAAAAATCCTATTACAAGTGTTCATTTTGTCACCATTAAAAAAAAGAGAGATCAGTTTTCACTTTTGCAAAATAACTGATTTTTTCACTAGTTTGTTACAGTTGTTTTGACTTCAGCATATGTCCCCTAGCAAAAACAGCAAAAGGAAAGTTGTTCATTGCTTTTTTGTTTCCTAATGAGTCCACATGTCTCTAAAGTGGATGGACATTGAGAAGACATAGAAATTATTACTTGGCTGATCTACAAGTTCTGTTTTAAATTGTGCAAAAACTTCCAAAACACAGAATTGTGTTATCATTTCAAGTGCATTCTACTTTCAGAATACTGGATGAAAGTTGAATCAAAGTTGCTGATTATGGAGGGTGGAGATAAACAGGAGTCAGCTCAGCCAAGAGAGCAAAAGGATTGGAGACCTGGTCTAAGCACACACAGAGGTCAACAGTAGAATCTAGCAGTGGACAAAGGGGATGAGTGTGCGCCTACTTTGCAGTTCATCTGTTGCTTGGGGAAATGAAAGTCTAAAATATGTTTTATGTTCAGTCAGAAATAGTGATAAAAGGCAAAAGATAAAAGATCTAGGAAAGGCAGTCAAAAGACTACCTTATTCTTTCTTCCCCAAAATTCTCTAAGGAGATGAAACCAGATAATCTAACAATCTTACCCTTCTAATCAAGCAAAGGATGCGCTAAAGGTCATTATCATCTGCATTCTCTCTACACTTTCCCTTTGGTGGCCAACTCCCTTTCTATCTTTACTTTTTCTTTTTCTTTTTTTTAAGATTTATTTATTTATACAAGAACCAGGTTCAGGCCAGATGTGCGGGAGTGTGAGAGGATTCACCAGAGACAGAGCGGGGAACAGAACAGGCAGACTGACGAAATACACTGCTGAGGGGAACAGGCGGGGCAGGAGGGGTCTGCTGCACCATGTGGGTTTCTCTCTGGCCGGCCGGGATTGAACCAGTGCTGCAGAAGCTATGGACAGCTTCACAGTGCAGAGCTCAACTGCCTGCTCCACCAGGGAGGCCCCTTCTATCTTTACTTTTTCTTCAACTCTTTTTCTACTGCTCATTTTGCTATCCGTAGCACAGTGTAATACAACCATTTTCACATTCTTTATCAACTATCCCATTTCCATAGCATACAGAAAAATTGAAGTAAGGAAGTCTCCCATTATCTCTCTCTTCCTTGATTCTACACTAACTTTTCTTGCTGAGACAGAGAAAGAGAGAGAGAGAGAAAGAGAGAGAGATAGAGAGAACCGGAGCTTCTCTGGAAAGACAAGCCAGCATAAAAATTGAAAAATGTTAAAACCTTTGGAAGATCTATTTCACTGTGCTCCGATCCACCCACCTCAAGTCCTTTTTTTATCAAATAAACGAACGGAGCACAATTTCCAAACCATTATAAAAAAAATTATTTTCTTCATCTTAGTTATGAAATGGTTCTAACTTCAAGTATTCCTATTACTAAAACAAGATATATATGTATATATATATATATACACACACATATGCTTTAAATGATTTCATATAGAATGATGGCTACAAGCTGCCTAAACAGACAAACCACTTGATCATTTAACAAAAAACAAATTACATTGTGGGTGATCTAGATGAATCAAGCCCAGGTAAGAAGTTATGGAAAACAAATAACTGACTTTTCTTAGACCGTGCTTTTTATAGGCTGTGGGAGGCATGAACACATCTACTTGGTTGCCTTTATAATCAAGCGCTAATAACAGTGTCCAGCACATTACAGGCACTGGATAAACATTTGTGGTATAAATGGATCTAACTTCATTCTGAGAAAGTGCAAAGCTGCACTTCACATCCTAAACACCAGCAGGACAAGGTCTACAATCAGCAACCTGTCAAGGCCTCACTTTTCCATGCTGAAAGGACAGCTGCCTACCATTTCTGCTTCCACAATATAACTGTAGATTAATGAAATGTTTTGTTTTAGCATTTTTAAACAATTTACTTACAAAATATCTTAAACATGAGGGAAACAATTCTAAAACTCTCATAAACACCTTGTCAAAATAAATATATACTCTTTCAAGTATTCGAAACATTTAAGTTGTTAAATATTACCTAACTGGGCCAGCTTTTTCTCACCAAAAACCGTCTGTTCCCTTGGGCTAGGATGTTCTGCCACCTCTCTCTCTATAGAAATACCCAGGCTCTGAGGGCCAATTCCAGTTCTATCTCTTACTAAAGCTCCTCCCTTGACCATCCCCATATTCAGAGATTCCTCTTCCCACCTTCTACATCCTGAGAAAATACTGACACTTCAATTATGCAGAGTCTTTAGACCTGTGTGTATGGTTACATAGATCCTTCCTGAAGGATCACTGGAATCTGAAGCATGTCATTTCTAGTAGATTTCATTTGGTTTTTTTTCCCATTTCTTCCATACAGGCCAGAGTACAGAGGAATGGGCTGAAGATGAGAAGGAGGGCAAGTCAAGTCTTGAAATCATTTTGATGAGCACGTTTTCCCAGGGAAGCACAGCACAGCTGAGCACCATCTTTCACACCCAAACACCCAACTGAAAAGGTGAAGCAAACTCAGGGCAATGGTTGAAAAGTTATTTTCTGATTACTGGACTTCCCTTCCAGTTCCTTCTAGGTTGCAGTTTACATAAGCCTGATGGACATGAAGCAACAGTAGGCATGAGTCAATAGCCTAAAATCAATGGCCTGATTAATGGTAACAGGCCGCCGAAAGCAGCACGCACAAAGGATAAAAGACTATCTGAGTTGACTGCAATTGTTAATTAAAAAGTAATGGACTGGTGGTTAATTAAGAGTTAACTGCAGGTTTTCTAAAAATCCTGAATGATTAATGATGGCTAAAGTTTGCAGTATTAATTCACAATTTGTCAATCAGTTTCAAAGAGAAAATTCTTTATTATACTGTTAACAATATATGCATTGTCAAACTAAATATGGGAGAAATGCTGCTACCTAAAGAGAGATAAGAATTGATAGGAAGGACAGTAGCATAGAGACTATGAAGAATTGTTACTCAGATTAAAAGAGCTGGTAGTACAAAGTAAGTGGCAAGAATTAAGGTGAAATTGAAACAAACCTTTATTTAGAGAGATTAAAATTTTAATATCATAAAAGTCACCAGCCTGAATATTCCTGGGGCCCTCTTTTCACAAGAGCTCCAGGTCATAGACTGTATCAGAATTATAGCTCAGTCTTCTTTTAGGAACAAATATTCTTTGATAGGGCCTCCCCGGTGGCGTAGTGGTTGAGCACTGGGCTGCAAAGCTGCCTGCAGCCTCTGCAGCTTCAGTTCGATCCCCTGCCACTGGCGAGGGTCCCACATGGCGAGGCAGACCTCTTCTGCCGCCCGCTGCTCCCCTCAGCAGTGTCTTTGTCAGTCTGCCTGTTATACTCCCTGCTCTGGCTCTGGTGAATTCTCTCACCCTCCCGCACTTCTGATGGTACCCAGTGCTTGTATAAATAAATCTTTTTTAAAAAAAAAAAAAAAAAACATTCTTTGCACTGAATTGACTTCTACAAGTCAACTCTTTTTTTTTTTAAGATTTATTTATTTATTTATGCATACAAGAGCTGGGGTACAGGCCAGAAATGCAGGAGGGTGAGAGGATTCACCAGAGCCAGAGCGGGGACCAGAACAGGCAGACTGACCAAAATACACTGCTGAGGGGAGCAGTGGGCGAGACTGTAGAGGTCTGCTGTGCCATATGGGTTGCTCCCTAGCGGGTCAGGGATTGAACTCATGCTACAGAGGCTGCAGATAGCCTCACAGTGTGATGTTCAACCCCCTGCGCCACCAGGGAGGCCCAAGTCGACTCATTAATAGTCTCTCCCCACTCCAACAATTCAATGCAGATCCCATGCCTCAAATAAATATAAAACATCTGAATTTGCTCTCCCAAGTTTCAGAAGTATCTGTTAACATGCTACTAACATTAAGCTGTAATAGTATAATATCATCATACCTTTTGGATTTCTTCAGGTAATGCATGCATGGGAATGTGCCGATCCATAATTTCTCAAAATACACTGAGAGAGCTCTGAAGCAAATAATCTAAAAACATTGATGGCAACAGTAAGAATTGAAATAATGTTAAGAAAATTCAATGAATTGAAAAATTCAATTGAATTCAATGTTCATGAAAGTATAGTGAGGTCTTCTTGGTTAGTTACCAGGCCAATAGAATAGAAAAGGCCCATAGAAACTACTGAATTAGAAATGACTTTTTTTTTTAATTTAGAGTTTTGTAGTCTAGTTTTAATTTCTGTGGTGCTTTGTTACTCATTGTTTGCAAATACAGAGTATCACTTAAAATTTTAAATAGACCCATTTATTTGTCTTTAATCAATTTTTTTCCTGAAAAGCTGCCACAAAAATATTAAATATTTTAGTTAAGCAGTTCTGCAATTGTGATGTGAATACTGCTTAAAATGATGAAATACAAAAAAAAGTTCAGATTAAATATGACATTTAAGCACTAATAATTAAAGTATGAGAAGTGTGCCAGTTTAACTGGATGAATATTTAAATAATTTTATGGAGATATTTAACTTTTAATATTTTCATTTTTCTAATAAAAAATCAATATTTTATTTTTTAATTAAAAAATTCAATTTTTTTTTTTTCATAAAACCACACAAAATGGAGTAGTACTTTGGGTTCCCTTTTTGTAATCTTTCCCAGATGTGGAGAAAGAATAGATATTTATACATATCTAAGGAATAGAGTATGGAAGACAGCAATCAAGTAAGATGATATAGGCATATTTCCACAGCAGGGAGGAAGGCCTGAATGCCAGGCGGTAAAGTTCAGGGACAATCTCAGAGTTCAGGAAAGAAAAATGCCTTTCTAATGGGAGTGGGGAATTAGTAAAGACTCCCTGAGGTTGTTTGCTTTTGATCAGGGCAGGGTTTTGACAGAGACTGGAGAGGCAAACTACTCCACCAAAGATAGCAACTCAGCCAGAGCCAGGTGGCAGGAAAATTGTAGTTTACAAAAACTCCTGTAGGGGAAGTGTTACTGTAAATTGTGCAACCCGACCTTGGAAGAAAGGATTCTCATTCCCGGTATAAGCACAAAGCCTCTTGTTTTAATGAGCTGCTGCTTAAAACAAATAACTAATGAGCGTTTTGAATATTAATATAATATGTGTGAGGATACCTCTGTGTGTGTGTGTTTGGTCAAGTTAACTGGAGTTGACTATGTGCCTAAAGTTACTTGACATAGTTAATACAGGTCCAAATAGCCAATTACATAGTAATTAGATGTTTGACACATTGTCCAGGTGAAGTGAGAAGAGCTCACAGAAGGCACGTTTCTGCCATTTTACAATGGACCTTCCATCAGTAAAATAAGATGGCATCATCTTAATTAAACTCTACTAGAAGAATTTTGTCCTAAAATAACCTAAATTTCCTAAAACTACAAATTACATCTTTTTAAATTTCACCCATAAAATTATTTGAGAGTGTGATCTGCGCAACAGTACAAACAAGGTACCAGTTTTTATCTAGCACCTTCATTGCCTGTACATCTATCCCAACACTGTAGCCTTTTCATACCAACGGGGAAGAATTGGAAAATTCTGATTATTGATGAAAAATTTTTAAATATTCTGCCAATGCAGGAAATCTGTCCCTGGTTCAAAAATGAAACAATTTTTGTATTAAACTAACATTCATAAAATCACAATCTGCAAATGAGATTACAAAAACAGAATGAAATTCCACTGCATAAAGTACAGATAAATCTCAGCACAACTTGCTACACTATTTTATAATTTGTTTCAATTCACCTAGCAATTTAAGTGGCCACTTTGCTGGCTACTAGGCGGTTTGCTCTAAGGATCGGGTTTCCCTATGGTAAAGCGTAAGGTCATAAATAGAAGCAAATGCCCAGGTGACATGGATGCAGGGGCACACTCTTTCCTTGGTGTTTACACTTACAAAGATTTGACTTCGTCAAATCTCCAAATCTTTTCTTGCCAAGTACCCAAGAAAAGCACTCCTTGGTCTTTAAAAAGATTTGCCTGCACTTTGGACTACAGGAATTATTCACAAATAGGAAATTTCTCACGAAAGGAAGAACGGTCTCTTCTCTTTTGCACACACAACACACACACAGGTATCCTCATACATATTAATATTGGAAACTGCTCATTAGTTATGTTTTAAGCAGCAGCCCATTAAAACAAGAGGCTTTGTACTTATACCGGGAACAGGAAAATGCTTTAATTTTTGGCAATAGGAAAAAGCTTTAATTTTGAATTTACCCTCAAATTATTTTGCGTGTTTTATCAAATGAGCCCCTTTTGTTCTCCAGCATGACACACTCGAGGGCTGCCCACTGGCAGGAGGTTGGAGGTGAGAGGCAGCAGCTCCCAAAGCGCGAAGGGACTGCCCTGTCCATGCCCTCGCCTGCCCAGAGTCTCGCAGGGACGTGCGCCTTGTTCAACTCGGGCCCTTCCCCGGGGGCTATCCCTGGCGAGAATCACCCACTCCCGGGCAGTCGGGGGACAGTTGGGGTTCACGTCCTAAGTCTTTTCCCTCATCCGCGGGGTTTTCCAAGGCCGCCCAAAACTGCCAGAGGGTTTTGTAATGCGTCCCCTTCTAACCCCGTTCCCAAGGGACCCTCACGGCGGGCAGGGAGGGGGCGAGGGCTGAGCTGAGCTGAGCGCGCGCCGGGTTAGAGGGCACCGGACCCAGGGGGCCAGAGACCTGGCCGGGGCGCTGGGAGGCTGAAGGGGCCGCTAGGCTGGGGGGGGCGGCTGCGGGACGGGAACTGCTGGGCGGGCGAAAAGGGGGCGCGCCAGGGGCCCAGGAAGTCTCTGGCAGGCCAGGGGGGCCGGGAAGCGGGGGCGCGGAGGCCCCCGCCCTCCCCCGGCCCGCTCGCCTCCGCTCCGGAACTGCGTTCGCAGGCCGGGGCGGCCCAGACTCAGGAAGCCATTCCTCGACTCTCACCTACACCTTGGCTCCGCCTGGCGCGCCGCGGCTTTCCCGGTCTCCCGGGCGACCGTCCTGCACGTCGGCCTGACGTCAGGGCGCGCTGACGTCATGGCTCACGCCTCCGCCGACGCGGAAGTTGGGCTCCCATGCGTTCACCGCCCGCTCGCTTACGGAAGCAGCGCGGTTGCTGGCGGGTGGGAGGGATGGGCTGTGCGCACTGGGGTGGTAGGAGGGGAAATGGGGGCGCCGGGGGTGGGGGGCCCAGGGGGTGCTCGTGTGGGAAGGAAGGATCCGCTACGGGAAGGAAGCGGAACAGCTACGGTCGTGGGGGGGAGGGGGCGGTAGCAGCCTCAGCCTGAGCGAGCTCCATCTACCTCCCCCCTCCCAGCAACCCGGCCCGTTTGGGGACACCCCAATTGCAGTTATTGGTTTTGGAGGGTTAGGAGCCTCAGTGGGCACCGGTCTAAGGGACGAGACTAGGAGACCAAAGCTGAGGTCCTGGTTTCTGCTGGGGGCCAAGCTTACTGGGATGGCGTTGATAGAATTTTCATCCTAGTCCAGAAGTGGTCAAGGTGAAGTTCACAAAGTATCCTGAGCCCCCTAGTCCACCATGTGTGTATTTGTAAAAGACTGCCCCTACCTGGATAGGGCAGTGCTCTGAGATGACCCATGCAGGGGCAGCCATGGTACTTTTGCAGGACTCAGTCCAGATGTCTCCTTTTTGAAGATTAGATGAGGTCCAAAATGTAGCGCTTCTAAGAAGCAACACTTCGTGGCATGCCAGATGGGAGAGAAACTATTATTACTATTTCACGGAAGATTGAGTAAATCAAAGAAAAATGAAACCTGTAGATTTAGAGAAGTAACCGAATGATGCAAGCAGTGCAGAGACAGTAATCAGACTGCTGTTTGAAAGCTATTTATTAATGAAAATGTCAGCATCAAATACTTTAAACCCTTACTCCTGAAAGCACTAATCTTGCAGATGGTCCCAGTACGCTTAACCTGACTTCTGTTTTTACCCTAATACCTACCAGCGACTTTGTTTGTTTCCACTTCCTCAAAGAGCTTTCTTCATCTGAGAAAGATAAGCAGTATTGAAAGGATTGGAAAAGAGGATGGTCAGTGAGGTCAGTACCGCTGACCAAGAACTTTGAGAAGTCTTCGTCCTCAGCATGCTTCTTGAAGGTGGAGTGAAGGTTGTTCTCATTCTGCGCAACAATAGAAGTTTAGATAGCTTGGAAACCTGCTCAGCCAGATCCATTACGTGCTTAATCTGGAACCGGAGTTGCACACACAAGGCAAAGTCGCTGTGTTTTGATGCTCCTTCGGCTAGTAGTATGATCATTAGCAAGAATACTCATTGTTACTTTGTATATATAATCATGAAAGAAAATAGGGATAGGAGAGCCAACTGGAAGGCTCTCATGCATTCTGGGTTTAATTTCACCTGTGCCAATTCATCTACTTTGACAGTGAGACCTATTTTCCTTCCATCGTAAATATCCCTTAGAATGCCCTCCCTCCTCTGGCCAGTAAGATAGCCACCTACGACTATTCAATGAAGAAATAAAATTTGAAATCCATTCCTTTACTGCACTAGGCACATTTCTAATGCTCAATAGTCACGTGTTACTGGTAAGAGAATACATACACAGACTTTTCATCATGGAAGAAAATTCTATTGAACAGTGATAGACCGAGTAGGACTTTCAAGGATAGAGTTAATGAATTGTGAAGAAAAGCCTTTTTTTTTTTTTTTTTTTTTTTATAGAGGCATGCTTTATTTATTTGTTTGCTGGTTTGTTTGTTTGTTTTGTTTATACATGCACTGGGTACAGTCAGAAGCACGGGAGGGCGAGAGAATTCACCAGAGCCAGAGCGGGGAGCAGAGCAGGCAGAAGGACCGAAGTACACTGCTGAGGGGAGCAGCGGGCGGCAGGAGAGGTCTGCGCGCCATGTGGGACCCTCCTCCGGTGGCCGGGGAGCAGCCGGGGATCGAACCGGCGCCGCAGAGGCCGCGGGCAGCTTCGCAACCCAGCGCTCAACCGCTGCGCCACCGGGAGGCCCGAAAAGCCTTTTTTAAAGGCTAGCAGTGAATAGTGCTATTCCTGGACCACAGCACAGATGAAGACTTGTGACAGGGTGTTATTTTCAAGGAGGGAAAAAGCCAGTGAGTCTCCCCAGTAATTTTTTTTTCTCTAGGCTCTGTGTCTGCCTCAGTAACTCCTGTCTCTGACCAAATTTCTCCCCTTGTCCTTTTTGTTTCTCCACTCTTCCCTTCACCGCATTATTGGCCATGGTAGAACTGACATAGAATTTAAAATATTGGAGATATTGAAATTGTATTATCCTCTAAGTGTAATCAGCTAAGTGTTACTTTTTATTACTGTGACTTAAAATAATCAAGTAATAACCAAATTAAATTCCTTTTAACATCTGTGACACTTTGCTTTTCTTTTTCCCCTATATATGAGTGACCGCAAAAGAAGAATGCTCCCTAGTTTTGGAGTAGATTCTCTGTACAGAGACTAGGGCTTTGCATATGGTCTACACATCTTTGTATTATAGTATTAACATTTGTGAGAACACAGTGTCTATGCTCTTGTTTCTGTTGTGAATTTACCTAAGAGATTTATCCAGATGGACATTGTCATTCATTTCATTCATTTTGGTAAGGAGCATTATGCCTCCTTTAACTTGCTCCCCCAATGAAAAGCACGTGGAGTAATAAATGTTTTGGCTCTCCAAGTTTGATAAAAATATCAGGAAGTCTACCCAAGATTGACAGTTTCAAAGTGAATTCAGAACTATACAAAGGGATCATGGCAAAATTACAGGTGACCCAACACAATTTTTATGCTGTGAACCAGAACACAACACTATCCCCTCAAAAGTTTAAATAAAGTGCTCTTTCTCTTCAACGAGGCGGCCTAGCGGCAGTCGCAGAAATGCAGATCTTTGTGAAGACCCTGACGGGCAAGACCATCACCCTCGAGGTCGAGCCTAGTGACACCATTGAAAATGTCAAAGCCAAAATCCAAGACAAGGAGGGCATCCCACCTGACCAGCAGCGACTGATTTTTGCTGGCAAACAGCTGGAAGATGGTCGCACTCTCTCAGACTACAATATTCAGAAAGAATCTACCCTGCACCTGGTACTGCGCCTTCGGGGTGGCATCATTGAACCTTCCCTCCGCCAGCTGGCCCAGAAATATAACTGCGACAAGATGATCTGCCGCAAGTGTTATGCTCGCCTGCACCCCCGTGCTGTCAACTGCCGCAAGAAGAAGTGTGGCCATACCAACAACCTGAGCCCCAAGAAGAAGGTCAAATAAGACCCTTCCTTCCTTTGCCTGCAGGCAACTCCTGCCCAAGCCCCATGACTCAGGGCCCTCAATAAAGTTTCCCTTTCATTGACTGAAGCAGAAAAAAAAAAAAAAGTTTAAATAAAGTAGTTGCAGACAGGCCTCTGAGGTTGGGGGCAGACATAGCTTTCTCTGCTATTTCTGGGTTCAATCCAAGGCAAGTGCAGAATTTTTAAAAAAAATTTTTAAATTTTTAAAATTTTTAACATGTATTGGTCTCTTTCTGTTTGCCAGACACTTTCCTACACAATGTCTTATTTATTGAGAACCCTTCCAAACATAGCTCAATCAGATGCTCCTTATTTATTTTCACCCAGTGGTGAAAGTCACCGCGGGCATGACCCAACCCTGGGCTCCTAAATTGTACTTAGAAGCAGAAGCACCTGGACCTCTTCTATGGCGTAAGTTGCCTCTGCCAGCCAGAAAGTACCCACAAGACATCATCTACAGTGAATTTAGTAGCATACTTAGAAATACTCTGAAAGTTTTTAATTCCAGAAACTTGATTGCGTTAGACTTACTGTCTTCCTAACTCTTCAGATACAGCTTTCAGCTTTCAAAAAATGTCAACTATCAGTGACCTCTTACTTTATTGTACTTACCCCAACACATTTTATTCCCACTACATGTGAATTAAATTTTCTCTCCTAATATGTTTTTTTTTTAACTGCTATCAACAATTACAGTTTTAGACTGCTTTGCATATTTTGAACACCAAATAACGCTGATCTAGAAGCAGCTTTGGCCACAAAATACTACTTGTAGATTTATGCTCAGTATTATTTTTAATCAATCATATGTGTAGTTTAATAAAGTGTGTGCCTAATAAAGTGAAGGTAACATGCTTAAATAATTTACCTCTAGGAATTCAAATTTTATGATCTGTGCAGGAATAAAATGTGGACTAAATTACATGAGAAAGTAATTAGAACAAAATTTCCAATGAGAAAACTCAGTCTTTATATTATGAATGTCTAATCAAATATTAAAAGTCAAGCATCGCAGTGATACCTTTTACGATTAAAAATGTATTCTCTATGGCCGGTTCACTACTGATAAAAGCTTGGTCCCAAAATGTATATTTTACTAAGGTATCAAGTTTCCTTAGAGAATCAAGAGAAATAACTAAGCTTCAAGAAAGTGGGGAGAGGGGTAAGAATGGCATTGAGAATTTCAGCTAAAAAAGAAAAAGAACTAAAAAGAACTTCAGATATGGATTCTGGAACTCCAAAAAATTGTCAAGAAGTCTCAGCCCTTTGAATCTGTCACTTAATGAAAGTTTGTTCCATTCTTTCTGCACCTGACAGGACAATGGTGGCAGGGAGTCTTAATTTTGCCACAAGAGAAAAAGGGGGTTTTGTTCCCACTAGTCAG